TCCTTCCCCTTCCTCCTGCCCCCTTCATTGTTGGGACGTACCAGCGGGTGCAGTCACGTTCCCAGCGGCCACGCTCTGCATCATTCCTCGCAAAGTATCGAGGCTCGGGCATCTCGCCACCAGGTGACCCGCCTTACCATACAGCAGACATTCCGCTTGGCGTCGCTCTCCGTTCCGGTAATTCCCTTGGGGTCTTGGCCAGTTGCACTCCATCGAGTAGTGTCCAAGTTCGTTACACTGATTGCAACGGCCTTGTCCACGGGGACACGTCTCACGTCCACATCCAACACGACCACAGCGTCCGCAAACCACTTCCCCTTCCGTGGTACGCGTGTCAGGCCCTAGTCGGATGCGAAGAGGTCCGAGCGGTGCGCCAGCCACGTTCCCATTCGGAGCTGGAACGCCAGTACTTGGAACGTTCGTAGGAGCCACGGCGCCAACGAACCCTTGTGACGTTCCAGGATTCTGCTGCTGTTTCAGCATCAACTGGTTCATTTGTTGAAGCTGCTGGAGCATCTGCGACTGCGTGGACGTCACCGCGTTCACGTTCCTCACCGTCGTTCCACTATTAGCAAACTCGTCCTCTTCTTCCACAGGGAGGTGCAGATTCTTGTACAGCAATAAAGCGCACGCTTCCTGGATCGACGCAGCTAGGTTCACGTTCAAAACGGCACGCATCTGCTTGTTTCCTTAACCCATCGAGGGATGAACTCGTACTGCATACGAGGTTCGTGATAGTTTATGTACTCGCACATCGGGATGATCCGGTCGGCCCCACTCTTCCGCAAATTCAGCGTAGTTCTTCTTTTGCGAGCTTGAGTCGGCGTCGACAACTGAACTGGCGGTCTGGAAGATGAAGCGGTTGTGGATCTCACGCGCAGGGTCTCAAAATCGTTGATCCTCGCATCGTACCACCACTCCTGACCCAACTTGCCCTTCAGACACTGCTCAAAGGCAGTCAACCGCATTTGGTCGTCCATACCGAGCGTACACTTCTCGAAGGAACGCCAGAACGCGGCCGCCCTTTCGTACGTGGCCGTCTCGGAGTAGAATGGAACGATAACTTTCACTGCGTTCCGCAATTCCGTCGGGATACCAACAATCGGAACGTCCTGCTGAGCACCTCTCCCTGACCCGTGCGAGCCATTGCGGACTCCTTGGTCGTAGTACGGACTCGTCACTTGCCCTTGCGGAGGTACTGCGTTATGTGCGTACCTTCCTCCTTGAGCACCCACGTTCCCTTCTTGTCCTAGCGCTCCTGCTCGTCCCTGGAACGTCGCAGCATTCATAGGAGACGTTCTCTGGAACGGCAATCCGTACGTTCCGCTTCTGGGGCTGGCAGGTGTCTGCCGTGCAGACGCAGCAGACCACGCGGGTATCGTTCCAGCAGCAGCCCACCCAGGTGTCGACGTCATTGGCGGTTGGAAGGGAGGGTAGAACGCACTCCGTTGGGGCGTTCCACCACCTCCACCGTTCCACGTGGAGCCAGCCATTGGAATTGACACGCCACCATACGAAGGAATAGCAGCCATCGGCATTCGGCTAGGTGTCGAAGCCGGCGTTTGATTCCTCATCCCTGGGGTCATAGGTCCTTGATACCCCATCACTGAAGACGTCATTGGTCGGGTCGGTGTCGGCACGGTACGAGGCACGTGTCCTGTAGCTTGAGGTCTTGGAGACGGCACCGGCGTTCCATCCGTCACTCCAGCCCTCTGTAGCAGTTGGGCGAGACCGTACATGATGAGAGCCTGTAAGGATGGGTCCGTCGTTGGCGTCCCACTTCCTCTCGTCGGCGTTCTCATCGATTGAACAGGCGTCGCTCCTCGACTTCCACCAGGTACGTACGCTCGCGTAGGTGTTCCAGCAACAACATGTGTAGCCCCTGGGGCACGTCGGCTTCCTTGTTGGCCCGGTTCGTTGCTGTTGAGTTGTCCGTACACTGACGTGACCATGGGCACGTCCCTTCTAGAGTCGTCCATCGGTTGCAAGGAGGGACGAGTCCGATCCAAGGCGAACCCCACTTCGCGGCGACCTCCCGAGTCCATCACCGAAGCGTCCAAGAGCGTACCCGTCGTCGTCCTTGTAGGCGTCGTTCCTTCGCTCGGCGCCGGTTGACGTGCCCACTGCTCAAGGACTGTGTTGGACATCTGTCCACCCTGAGGCGTTCCAGACACAGACTCAACCGTCCTTCTCGTTCCCGGAGACGGAGACGCCACGTCGAACATGTCCTCGCCTTCCACGTGGACCGCTCGTGTCTCGAGTCCTCTCGTCTCTTGATCAGCTCGCTGCG